CCAGCATTATACACATGAAGGAGACTGCATCCAAACATAGGGCCACATCATCTTGGTCCTTATATCTACGTTCCACTTATTTTAATGTATCTTTTATTGGCAAAAATGCATCTACTCAAGTGTCACTAGCCGGTGAATTAGGTTGATATCGATCACTTAGGCTGAAGCCTTCATAAAATCATGCTTTTCAAATACTGCGCGTTTACTTTACATTAGTAATTTCTTTAGCATTATCCAACTTCACCTTTATCTTTGCTCATATTCTGTCTATTTTCATCCACTCTGGCTATGATTGCTACATTTGATGTGTCATGTGCCTTTCCTTGCGTTTCTTTTTTGAGCTTAACAGCAAATTCAAAGGTCTAGCAAAAATCTGATGTCCCAAATGTATTTAGTCCTCTCTTTATGGTATTGATGTAAGCTGGTCGCCTGTTTTATAGGAATATTTTTCAGACCGTCATCTTTTTCTCTATTTGCTGATTGCCCGCATCTGCTTTTCCAGGAACACTTTCCTTTTAAAAAGTAAACAAACTTATAATTTAATCAATTGGCGCCTGAACTTCAAATAATTTACTTCTAATTATGATTTGTTGCCTGAGAATTGGTCATAATAGAGACAAATCACTTTCCTCAGCTTCTTAGATAGACGTGAATTGATCGAATGTCAACGATTTAAGAAATTGCTCTTTGCGTATCTCATTCAGGGCAAGGAACTTACGGACAGTGATGGCAGCCTTAAAATGATAAATTCTCGGATCCCTTTAGTAGCTATAAATCTTATCATAGTCTAAAATAAAACTAGCTTAAAGCTTATTTCTTTGTTAGGGGGACTTTCATTTCGTATCAAAGTGAATGAACAAGAGATTCATTGGTCTATCTCATTAGACGAGGACGGATAAATCTCGTTATACGGCAGCTGTTTGGCTTTTATACGATATTCATGTTGACGCAGTTCACGAGATTTCCTTCCTCGTTTCGGGTGAAAACGTGCTGAGCTTTCATTCATCATATGATGGACATCATCAGAGCTGAGTGTCATTGCTGTAGAGGTCTGACGTTAACACGAGGGCAAAAACACTATCCGGCTCTATCTTACTTCTTATAAAGATTCAATTGAACCGAAAGAAAATTAAGAACCTAGATATATCGATATAGAGTGGTTTGATTAATTATCTTTTATACGGATCCTGTTACTTTTGCTCGAGTGTTTGCGTATGCGTGCGTGTTAGCGTCTATATGCAATACGATTCTTAAATCAGAATTGTCGAAGGTTTAATTTTAGGTTCTGATCCTCAAGGCCTAATGACTCAAGAGAAAGCTTTGATCGAGACTGCGTAAGTCCGTAAATAAGTATGGTTGAGATAATGAGATTTGAGCTTGTAAGCATGAAAAATAAGTCACAAAACCACTTCTCATAATCTTTTAGTCTAGGGTCATTAACGTTTAACCCCCTAATAATGTTATCTCAAGATATTCATCGAAACCCAGTTTGTCATCGTATCTACAGCTTTTTTCTTTGCCTATATACTACGCATATAGTGCTATTTTCCTGCGTTTCTCTTGTTTGATTCCCTTTGCTACTTATTCAGTCGGGCTTTGAGACGCCCTCTTCTTTAGAAGAAGCTTCATCGACAAATGAGCAAGCCTTCTCCTCTGCCAGTGTCTTTTCCAGTCATCGTCTAGCTTTAGATGCCTCTTCTCTCAACTTTCCTTCAAGTCGCTCTGCACCGTCGCCCTGGCCGTCACCTCTTCCCTCAAATAGCATGGCACTCAGGAGTTCAGAGGCTGGGGAGACTTTCGCGGCAACCACAATTTCTCAAGCAACAGAACCCTGTTTGGATTTGATTACGAAGACGCATTACAATAGTTCTGCGGCAAGACCCATTCGCTATGACCGGAAGTCTTCTCACTCCTCTCTGCGAAATCATGATTTTTCAAACCTTGAGAATCGTGGCTGCCTTTTTTACACTCCAGAGGATTAATCCTTTCATTATTTTTATATGCTTACTACTTATTCTTTTATCCAACTCCCCAAAAATATGGTAATTTGTACTCAAAACTTCTGTGACAAATTTAACAACGACATTCTGTGCAGAAGCGGCATGAAACTTGACTTTATCCGACAAAGTAAAATACCGCATATTCCCCTTCAAGGAATGACTTGTATTTTCTTATAATTTTGCATTTGCCTTTCATTGTTTCTTATTTTATAAACTTTAAAATTTATAATTTATCTGATACTTAAACATTTCAATTTTAATTTGATGTACTCTCAAAAGTATATTCCATTTATGCTTTGTACTACTTTATTTTAAAACAATATTTCCTTTTAATTATCTACTTTGAAAGTAATACAGATTCGCTTTATATGCAACAAATTTCTTTTCTTCGAATTCGTGGAAACTTGAATAAATTTTAAACGAAGATGTCAAAATCATTAATCAAGGCGAAAATCCCACTTAGACTATTCGTGAATACCGATTGCACCTAAATAAACTGTAACTACACAGTTCTGCTAATTCTTTTCCAACTAAATCGAGTCATCATAATGATAAAGTGTTTCCCTTTATTAATTTGATGTAGGTTTGTAAAGACTTAA